TTTGCTCAGTAAGTATGCAAGAGGAGTGAAAATTTTCACTTTCCATATTACAGGGTACAGAAGCATTTCTCATTCATCGTTAAATTTATATCCGTGTTCTGTCATTTACATAATATTTAAAATTCTATGTAACCTCCTTTGAGCCCATATTCTCACTCGCTATCAGTGTGCACATATTTACCTATGAATTAAGTATATTCTAATGTATCCAAGGTCATGTGCTTTTTGTATTAATGAAGTTTCTTGTCATCTTGAGCTTATATTGGTTCTAACCCAAACTATAAGGTTTTACATTTTTTAATCATAAAATAAGTAATTAATTGAGACCCCCATTATTCCAGTACACTTGAACTTCACAGAGAAACACAATATGATACCATGATCTAAACTAAATTTAAACTACAAAGAACCAGAATTTCTCTGGGATATTTACTTCGCAGGAGCTAGGGTTCCCAGCTTATAGATATAAGACCCAAGATATCACTGCAGACCTCCAATACTGCTGCTGTGTGAGCTGTAAGGCTTGAAGTATACAGGCCCTAGCAAAGCTCTCCAAGCATCTAGCCTCAGGCTGAGTGTTTCCCTTAGGTCTGGCTGGTTTTCCTCACTCAGCTTTCCTGGGCCGAACCTCTGCCCTTTTCTCTCAAAGTCCTTAATGTCATTGTGAACTTTTTATTCTTACATTAGGAACCTAAGCTTTCTAAAAATTCTTGATCCTTGCAGCTGGATTAGCATAAAATTAAATAAATATTTATTAATTTATTTTGTTGTTGCTTTTTGAGACAGGGTTTCTGCATTGTTTCTTCCCTGTCTTCCCTGAATGATGGCATGCAAATTGTAAGGCAAATAAATCCTTCCCTCTGCCAATTTATCTTTTGATGTTGCTTTTATCACAACAACACAAAAGCAAAGTAGGGTATTATGTGTCTTTTTTTCCTACTACTTATCACCATCTAATATCATATATTTTTTGTTTTTGTAGACACGATTTCTCTGGGTGTATCCCTAGCTGTTCTGGAACTCATTCTGTAGAACAGGTTGGCCTTGAATTCACAAAGATCCACCTGCCTCTTCCTCCCAAGTTCTGCAATTAGAGACATGAACCACCACTGTCTGGTGAGCATTATTTATCTTAGGCATGTCTCTTGCCTTAAACCTTTGTGAAATACAAACACTATATAATGGCTACTTGCAACTCTAATGATTTTTAAAAGTAATCTGTTCCCACTAAAACTGGCTAATACGTGAAATATTATGTGACTTAATTTGAATTTAGAAATCAAGTAATGATAAAATACTCCAGTCATTTCCCTATAATTTATGATCGAAAATGAAGGGTCTACAATGCCCTCAACAGGTGCATTACACAATGAGCAATCATTAGACTTTCCGAATTGTTATTTACAGGTTGTGGGAAAAGAAAGCATGGGAGCTCTTGGATGTTGAGCATCTGCTTTGAGATACTAAATTTCAGTTCATGAAGGGTGAACTTCTATAAATGCTAACAAACCACAACCAAATGACAACCAGAAGCTTACTTCTTCACTGGAACACTGAGATTTCTCAGTATGTTCTAGGCACATACTCCTTGGATGCAGAAAGATCGTAATTTACACTTACAGAAATCAATAAAACTCACACCTACAAAAATTCTAGAAAGTTTATGTACTCACATTTTTATTATTTGTCAAATGCTGATCATTATTTTCATTCTACTTTTAATAGCTACTTTTTTCCAGACATTTTAGTTCAACTATCTCTATTCTGTGCAGCAAAACAACATGGTATAGCTTGTTAGTTACCTGAAATTTAGTTTGTCAAAGTAGATGTCCAACACTGTACAACTAGAAAAGGTCAAGATCAGAATGAAAACCAAGGACAGAGTACATTCTTTCTTATCCTACACCCTGGAGATAACAATGGGAAAGTCTAATAACTTCTCATATAATTTAGCTCATCTCCTTTTATGCTATTTTCCATGGTCACTCAATGAACTGAGTTGCAGGCCAATCTCTACCACTCCAGAGAAACAAGGTGACAGTGACAAGAAATGCTGGAACGGGGTGTCATGGAAGGAATGGGACCTCATGTGACTGGAAGCAAAAATATACCAATCCTGGCCCCGCATTGGAAACATTCATCTGCTGTGTAGAGTTCATATAATATCTGTACTAAAAAGACTTGGGGAAGAATAACAAAACATAAGACACAATTGAAACTCTTTGCATTCATTTCTTTGTTTTGCTAGAAATCAGAGTATTAGAAAAATACGCAACTATGATTAACTGTTGTATGTGTTCTGGTTTGGGGAAGGCATACAAACATCTAAAGGGAAGAGAAAAACCTATTGTAAGGGCTTAGGAAGTAAAAACTAGGACTCTTAATTTTTCTTTCATATGATGCTAATTTATGGTGAAGTTAACAATATTTTTGTTGACTCTGAGCTTCAAGCTGTAGCAAGGAATTCTCACACCAACAGTTTTTTCCATGATCTTGGCTAGCGTCATCATTTCAGGTCTTAAAGATCGTTTTGTCAAGAGAAAGACAATATGCTGACAAGTCCATCTCCTACACACATGTTTAATTGCTATTTGAAAATTTATATTATTAAATACTGCTACCCTTCTCTAGCTGTTGCAAACAAAACAGCAAACACATTAGAAGACAAATCTAGGATAAATACCTGTGTGAATACATAGTCACACAGGAAAGGAATTGATGAATTTTGAGGAAGAAAATGTCCAAGTAAGGAGAGTCTTCATAAAAGAATCATGGATTATTTTTATACCCAAGTAAGACATAATTAAATTCCTGTGTCTTTTATAAATGAAACATGTGATTTCTTTGCTACTGATCATCTATGAAACACAGACAACAGTGTTTGAGAAATGCAGAATCTTTAGAAACTGGCATTTTAAATGAAATTCCCTACAAATAGTCCCATAATGACAGCTTAAAGGCCTAATTCATAAAAACATCATTAAAGTACATTATTTATACCTACCTTTTTGTGGACTTCGGCTCTTATTCATGAGTCTCACTGTGTATGGCTGTAATTGGAGGCAGGGTATATAATGGAAACATTAATTCAATCTGAACTTAGGTAAGAATATTGTATTGCCATAATAAAATGTCAACTATATCAATTCAAAGCATGGGATTCATTGCCCAAGAACATCCTCTTTTAAAAACTTGCAAAGAAGAGCTTACAACTCACGGCTTCAAGTACCTTCTTTTTCTGTGAAGTTCAGTGCACCACTGAATAATTGGTGCAGACTTTCTAATGAAATATTTATTCTTCAGCAGCAAGAAACATAGATTCAGGAAAGACTTATGATCATATAGTAACTGTGGCATTATTAGTATGTTCTTAGAAATATTTGTAAGTACTCAGATTTAATTAGCTCCTTTCCCAACTCATGATATCAGATGATGATATTTGACATTTTTATTACCTTAGCAAGATGGAAAATATCCTGCTGCATATTTCTCCCAGAGGAGAAACCAAATGTAATAATACTTTAAAATTTATTTATTCAAAATTTTAAAGATGATTTGCTTAAGACAAAACCTTGTGGAGAAGGCAAAGTGAATTTCAATAGTCTTATCTCTAATTCTGGAATGATAAAAATTTACCTTCTCAACTTTCTCCTTCGGAGTGAGAAAGCTGCTGAAGTACTCTGTAGACACATTTAGACAGAGTGTGAATGGGTCTCCTTATAATGCTGGATTCTCACGTGAACTGGTGGGAAGGAGCTCTTTATAAATTATGCTTCCAACACTAAAATAAAGTGTTAGCTTTGATCTTGTAGGTAACAAAGCTCTATACTTAAGGGGATGAATTAATTCCTGTATTTAATGAGATGCAGTTCTTAGACAACTTAAGCAGTCATCTTAGAATTGCACATTTGATATCCTCATTCAGCATGGTAAAAATTCCATAATAGTTCTGGCTAATAAAAAAAAACTTAGATACTTTGGTTCCCAAAATAACAAAGAGAAAGGTACTTCAAATATAGGATAAATAATTTGACCAATTGAAGGTAAATATCAGTTTCCAATGTTAAGCAGTCTCCCAGTCTGAAAATCACAGGCCTCTCTATTTCAGCAATTGAAGACAAGCACTTGGTTTTGTTATTTGAAATAACTAGACTTACCAGAAAAGCACCCAGGGAAGCCCTTGACATTTCCTCTTGGCCCCAGTCAAACTGAGGCATCTTCCGATATCTGAAACAGGTGTCTTCCAGGAAACTTTGTGGAAACACAAAATTTTGCATAGCATTCAGACTTACTACAACTTGGATATAAACAAGCACTTTGCTTCATGCAACTTCTCAGAAAGGGCAGTGAAGGTAACATCCCTGCCACACTGCCACACACATGTCATCAGCTCTAAATATCTGTTGACAAGAGCCAGAGCTGGAAACAAACCCTTAGAATGCCCTAATAGTGTCCCCAACCTTCCTAATGATGCAACTCTTTAACACAGTTAGTTCCTCATGATGTGGTGACCCTTCAACCGTAAAATTATTTTTGTTGCTACTTCATAAATACAATCTCTCTACTTTTATGAATTGGAATGTGAATATCGATGGGTTTTGCTGCTCTTAGGCAAGCCCTGAGAAAGGGTCATTTATCCCCAAAGGGTCAAGACTGGCTGAGAATCACTGTTCTAAAACATTATTTGTAATAAAATAAGTAGATGAAGAGATGTAATAGATGTAAGAGATGTAAGAGATAGAATAGATGTAATAAAAGTAGATGAAGAGAACGAGAAATTTATCTAGGTGAGCAAGACACTGTGCAGGGTTCCTGATGGCCCTGTCTGGCTTTGAGGGGGATACTGTTATTTTTGAAATGGGGAAGAGGTGGTATCTGCTTGAGCTTGTTGAGGAATCACAAGGTGCCCAGAGGCAGAAGCAGCTCAGGAGCAATCATTTCACCTGGCATCCTTAATTACTGATTTTCCTTCATTGGGATGTTTTCAATTTCTCCTCTAGAAAAAGAAGAGGAGACGAAGAAAGCGGAGAAGAAAGTTACTTCTGAAACAAAAAAAAGAGGTAAGCAACAGAAAAGCTATCTAACACCTAAATCAAATGGTCGTAATTTGTGTGTTGCTGGGAAAGCTATTGATTCCCAAGAAAGAGAGTCACTTGATTGTCATCATTATTGAAAACACCCAGGATATTTTTAAAATATTCTAAAAACTTGGAATTGAGAAAACATTTAAAACTGTATATTTGCATATTCATTTAATGATAAGATTTTTCTGTTTAGCTCAGGCTACTATGGAACTCATGAACCCTCTGCCTCAGAGATCTGAAATTAAAGGGTGTACCACCACATCACCTGGCCATAAACACATTTGTTAAAGATATTTTTTTTTTAATTTTTGGAGTGACAGCTCTCTCTATTTATCTCTCTCTCTCTCTATATATATATATGTATATACACATATATATATGTATGTATATTATTCAGTTATTGAATTTTACTAAAAGTAGCCATCAAGAGGATAAATTATTTTATATAGTGGTAAGAATTCTTGGAATAGTTTGATAGGCCATTTTTCTCTTTTCTTTAGACTTGCTAGCTAATATTTATCTGATATTACCAAATGGCTTTTAGAGATTTCAAAATTTCTAAGATACTTTCTCATGACTGGATAGCTCAGGGCATACTCAATATACTCCTTTTCATATATTTTAGGAAATTGTTTAGTAATTCTACAGTCATTAGTAATTCATTTAATGATTTTAACTTTGCTAAAGATTCTCAAATCACACTCTGTCACAGACGGCACTCCTGAGCTATGAGTGTATTTGGAAGGTGCCCATTTAAGTCAGGACTTACAGCTTGGAGTTACAATTGTCTCTGCAAAGTAAACTGGTGCCTTAATGGTAGTCATGTGTATCTGAAACATTATAGGAATGAGTTAGTTAAAGGCTTATAACGTGTGTATTTTACAGCAGAAAAAGGAGAAGCCAATAAGAAAAGTCAGAAGGAAACTGCCATTGATGTGAAAAGCAAAGGTATTATTCTTTCTCTGTTTCATTTTATTGCCTTCAGAGATATAGTTCATGAACAACCTTGGTACATCCATACACAGCTCAGATTTAGGTGCTCACATAAACCCACCTGAAGCCTGCCAATGCACAATGTCCTCGAAAGTTAAACAAACATGAAGCACATTATTCAAGGCTACTGCATTATGTGGGTGTGGTCAAAACTCCTTTAGACATTTGACTCTGCTCAAAAGAAAAGCAGGAGAATGGATAAGCGCTGAAATACAGGGTTGACTCCCATGCTTATATACTGGCCTCATTCAAGGAAAAATAAACTTTATTGCATGTTCATTGAAAGCAACAATTAGCAAGTTGAAGCAAGGTGGAAGATGTCAGCACTATCTTTCTTTTTGTTTATACTCTCAGGTCTGTGAGAAGAGTGGCAGCCGTGGGTGGATAACCATTGAAGTGAGCTTTAAAAAGATAGGGATAAATGAATAATACACAATGCCTGTCTGGGAAGTAAAAGTGCAAGGTAAATGAAAATGAGCAGCTTAGATCAGCAGGATCTGTCTAAATCCAGTCACGTTGCTCACGATCACCATGAAGATGAGAAAGCCACAGTATCACTCTGTGCAAAAGCATGATGTTGAGAAAGAGGAAAGCTTTAGTTTTGATATTATGTTTGTACAAACTTAGGTACTCATGTAGGGCATACATATACATGGAATGTTGACATCTCAAGGATTGTGGTTTAGTGATAAACGTTTTCGTCCCAAATACGTCCTCTACCTGTGTCAGTGATGGTTGAAACTCTGCTGAGAACTACTCCATTCTGTTGAGTAATGTAGGAATCACGCTGCATCAATTGCAAACATCCCAGGGCCTACGCAAGGGGTAAAAAACAAGTTCTTCTCAGCTATTAATAATGGAAGCCAAATGAAATTTCCACATCTTCCTGGGATAACAGTAAACTTAAAGCGATTCTCTCAAAATGTAGGCAATAGCTATGCCTAAATCAGGAGACAGACAGAGCTTCAAGACAGGATAATTAAGAGAGGGCAGACTGGACAGGATGGCGGCAGTAAAGCCTATCCAGTCTTAGGGAAAATAAGAATAATAGCTCATGTTGGAGAAAAAGGAGGTGAAGGAACCCAAAAAGGGGACTAGTATGAAAACCAAGTACCGGTGAGTGTGAATGGAAAACAGGAGTTACAGGGCCTTCTTCCTACCATGCTATAAGCAGGGTGAAATCAAAAGCTGCATATGGCTTAGAAAAAAAAAAAAAAAAAAAAAAAAAAAAAAACAGGAAGGGAAAGCAGGTCTTCAGTGAGTCTGAGAGTTGACTGCCAATGATGACAAACTGAATACATTTACTAAGGGAGCATTGTTACAGAGTTTATTATATGTTTAAACTTAATTTTTCTGGTGACATTATTTAGCATAAAAAAGGAGGTGGAGTTTTGATTATATGATGGCACCCAGAAACTGATTGACTATGTCGATGGACCTCTGTAGGACTGGGTGGTCCAGACAGATGAGGAACTGTTCCCCTGGTCATCAGTTTTGAATGAGCTCTTGGGCTACAATCCTGAATTTGTCCTGGAAAACCAGGCAAAAATCAAGGCTTCGGGTCTGGGGAGTGAGTCTCTTTCTCTCTCTCTCTCTCTCTCTCTCTCTCTCTCTCTCTCTCTCTCTCTCTCTCTCTCTCATTCTATCTTTTTCCCTTGCTCTCTCTCCTTCCTTCCCTCCGTCCCCCCCTGTGTCTGTCTCTCTCCCTCTGTCTTTCTCCTCTCATTCTCTCTCACACTCCCCCTTGTGTGTGTGTGTGTGTGTGTGTGTGTGTGAGTGAGTGAGTGAGAGACAGAGACACAGGACACAGAGAGAGAGACAGAGAGAGAGAGAGAAACCTTCTTGTTGTATGTGTCTTTGTTTATTTAAACTTTGGAGCTGAAAATCAAAATATTTGTATGTACACAGTGTCATGAGAAAATCTGAAACTCCATGACGTGATGACCTATGTCTTTAGTGTCACAGTTATATCAAGGTGAAGTTGTTTATTACTGGGAACAACTGTCTGTAGCAAATCCTCTTTCTGCAAGGCAAAGGTCACTGATGCAGAAATAAACCTGTGGCACCACTCTGAACATGTAGGAAAGGCTATTCAATGGGATTGTGAAACACATTTGCTTTTTTGAAACCATTTTTCTGTTTAAGACTTTTAGTTTTTATCTTTATCACACGGAGTATCATCGAGTCTTATAAATTAATCGAACTCTGATGGAAATTACTTGACATGGTATTTAAAAATCTTTAACATTCAAAAATTAAATTTTTATTGTATGTATGGGGGCATGTATGTGTGTAGGGAAAAGGAGAAAGGAGAGAGGAGAGAGAGAATTTAATTACTTTTTAGACTAATATTTCTTTTTAGAATTTGATATTGCTTTCAAGAATTTCATAATTTGAGTACAGTTTTGCAACATTCAGTGTTAGGTTTCATAGCATGGCAGAACTATTATAAAGCTGATCAAATGAAGAAAATAACTTAAATTTTTAAATAGCTGTCACCCTTGCCTTTTTTTTATACCTGTGATGACATCTGACATAAAGAATAAAGGAAGGTTTTGTTTTGGTTTATGTTTCCAGAGGTTTCAGTCCATCATGGAATAAGGCCAGACAGACTAGAGATCAATAACACACTGAGACTAAGAATCATGAGAGAAAATGGGTGTGGTAGCTAGCTTTCTTCTCTTTTATTTTGTCTAGCCCTGTGGGATAGTGTCAGCTACATTCGTGGCAAGTTTTACTTTCTTGGTTAATCTTTTCTGGAATACTATAGCAGAAACACCCAGACACACATTAATTTCCAAGGTGCTTCTCAAACTAGTTAAGTTGGAAAGCTGCCATAGTAATTCTAAGTACATATGTCTTTTATTCCTAAAATAGTGAAGGAAATATGGAAAGGAATTGTAGCTGCAAAAAGTAGCAAATTAACAAGACAGAAGCGGGACTTAGGTTTATTGTACACATGATTATTATGATGTTTTACTGAATATAAATTTATTTAACTTTTATATGATTTCCATGACTATATAATATACAAATTTATTTGTGTTGCACTAGTATATTTTGTTGTTTTTCTTTTATTATGCAGACAAAAACAACCCACATTCTGTACAACTTACCAGAAGTCTGTGTTGGGGTATTGTAAGTGGTGGTATAGCAAATGTATTACATTACACATTTGAAAATTCTCCCTCAAAAATAAAATAAGACAGGGTATATTTTAATGATTAGAAGGTACAGTCCCACTTGAAGAAATACCAAGAACGTCTCACAGGGTATGCATACCACATTTAAGGGCAGGCCCCATGTACAGCAGTAGATGGCCACCATGAAATGATCACAATGGTTTGTTTGTTTTTTGTTTTGTTTTGTAACTTTTTGTCTCATAATGCTTTGTCAGGGACAATTTTCTAACCAGACAGATCTCTTGTTCCTGTATTATGGTTTCTGATTTTGTTTTTATGGGTTTTCTATGTGTGCAAATGTGTGTGTCTTAGTATCTGTATGTGTTTCTTGGCTTTTCTTTGTCTTGTTTTTTCCTTTGTTTTGCCTATTCTGGTTTGTTTTCATTTTGTCTTATTATTTTATATATTTGCTCTTTTTTTTCTTTAGTTAAAGAAAGAAAGGGTGTAGATTTGGATGGGGAGGAAATGGGGAGGATGGGAAGAGTAGGGGGAGGGGAAATCATTGTCAGAATATTTTGTATGAAAAAAGAACTACTTTAAATAATACAGAAAGATGCATTGTGGTATTGAATTGATGATGGAAAAATCTAGTAAAGTGCTCCTAGTGTCTGTGCTATTTTAAGAAATGCATTAATATCCATTTCCATGAAATATTTTAAATTTCTTTCTGGGGTAAATTATTTAATTTTGCACAATATAAAATAATTCTTTTTGAGTTCTTTGAGAAAACGCAAAGATTTCTTTGCAGATATGTCCTGCTTAGAACATACAATTAAAGTTTCCTTATTATTGACATTACAGTATCATCAGCTTTTGAACCTTTATATCAGGATTTTTTTCAAGATATTTGAATTAAAAGACATCAGAGCCCCCAATATTTTTACATTTATTTGTAATTAAAAGAAATTTCAATAATATTTTATACGTACTAGAAAAGTCCTAACATCTTTCATATGTGCCATGTAAAGTTTAAAAAAATCACTTTCCCTTATTTGAAAAGAGGGTAGTTTTTCACACCTATGGCCTGTATTTGAGTTTCATAATTACAATTATGTTTTTAGAAGAATTGAAAAATATTGCATGATTAATTACATTGAAATCTAGAGAAATCTTTTCTAAGATCTTTTGTTGTAATCTAGCAATTATTATCAAGGTATTAGGTATGGATACTTCACATACTTTTGAATGAAATTTTTAAAAGTCATATTAATGTGTATTATAGATTACCTCCTTTAAAAAGTTTAATCAAAAAGTTAAATAATCAGGAAAGCAGCACAAATAAGACCTGATCCAGTTACTATTTCCTAGTCTGAGTTATTGGAACTCCCTAATTAGTTGCCAATAGTAGGTTTCTTTCAAGATAACTGTTTGATCCTAAATAGATAATATTTAAAGTTCAAATTCAAATGTAACATTCTGGCTGTATGAAAAACATTTACCATGCTTGAATTATTTGGAGGCAAGAGAATATATTTTTAAGCATTTTATAGTCATAGAACACGAGTAAGATAAAATCTGTTTAATTCCTCAAAGGCAGAAGTATTTGCCATGGAATAATATAGGGAAGTCTTTGATTTGCTACTTGAATGAGTGAGGGTAGATTACCATCATGACTTTCTGTGGGACTGTGAGGTAATCTTTTATACCTATTTCTGCTTTGAACAATACAAATGTTATGTTTGGACACTTAGTAAAAGTGTCATAAAAATAATTGTTTTAAAGAGAGATAATGGGTGTTAAAAAGATGTCTCAGTAACTAAGAACACTCACTTC